AGTCCCACATCTCCTGGAACACACCTAGTGTGTGGGCCATCAAATTTGGATACCTTACAATTTCAGGCTGGCAGGGCTTATCATGTTATCATCAACTGAGAAAATACCTGCACAATTCAGATTCAGGCCTGGATTTTGTAGTCCAGGTTTAAAGTCAGTGGGGTAAGAGAGAGCTCTGCCTGCTGGGCTTACTCCACAGCCTCCTGATCAGCTTCCTTAAGCATCCACAGTATATGTAAATAAATACATGTATATAGCCTCTCTCCCCAAATAGTCCTTCTAGGGGCTAAAACCCTAGGTACCATGGGTTAAATAAGGCAGTTCCTCTGACAGAGACACATTAGGTTGAATTTTAAACACCGGGTCTTTTGAAATTTCTAAAATTTTAACTATCAGTGTGTTAACAGCTTCTGGGACATTCCCCACCTTGTAACAGTTAATGATTCATCTTCATAAGAGATATGTAACTGGCTACAACCAACTCTCAAATAATGTTAATTATCTGCACAGCCTGTGTTTCAGCATTTGCAGTTTTCAGCTACTAACACTGGACATTATGAAAGCTTTTACATGACATCAGCTTTCCAATAAGCAGCCACCTATAAAATACATAATATTTAATCTGCGTTTGATTGCCACAGCTTAAAACCCCCAGAATTTATGGGAGCTACAAATCGTTTTTAGACTGTGCAGCATAGAATAAAAGCCAAGATTTTTGGTTCGGCTTGTTGATATTTCCTGAAAACATGAAACAATTCTGAAAGGACAGATTTCCTGGCTCACAGCTAAAGGTCAGCAGTCACACAGGGAGCGCTTGCTAAGTGTACCAAAATGATTGGGAAGGAAAGATTGGCACAACATTGCAGTATTATTAAAAAGTGATTTAAGTGGGGAAAAAGGGAGAAAAGAGAAAGACGGACAAAGATTAGACTCTCAACAAGTGAGCTTTCATTGAGACTAGAAAAACGGCCTCTCTGTCACTCCAAGCACCACTCGCTCTTGCTCCCTCTTTCCACCCCTCCTCCAGCCATGCAGCTCCAGCCCAAGGCAGCTGCTCCAGCCAGGCATCACAAACCACTCATCTGGCCTCTCCTTCACAGTCCAGAGGTTTTTCCAGGCTCATCTCAGATTGCGGAGGCACACGTTTCACTGGGAAGGACAGGAGTTCAAAAGTTCCATGACTTTGTGCAAGAATGACATACAGTTGTGTGATATGCAAAAACAAAAGTTCATTTTTCCCAAGGAATCTCCCTCAAACCTGCCCAGTGTTTATAACTTGCTCTCAGCACAATTAAAACCAAAGCACTTTACTGGCTATCTCCTGTTCTACAGCCGGCAGAGGGGGCAACAGGCAGCTCTCATCGGTTTCTTGAAACCATCTGCTTGAACAAAGTTCCTTGACAAAGTAATTCATTTTATAATGATACCAAAAATTTCCCATCCACTGAGATGATACCAGTTCAAAACCAAGCACATTCTGCAATTAAAATCTCTGAGGCACGTATAATGTTGGTAGCATCTTTGAAACAATATTTAGTACCAGTCTCAACAGAGACTATCCCAGGCCCCACCAAGACTCCCAATCTTGTTTTAATTTTTATTATTCACATTTTCCGTTTAAAGAATGGAGCATGTACAATTTTCCAAGCAAATAACTCTGACCAAACCTAACAGCCTCCAGCAAGGTCCCTACCACAGGCTGTGCACCCATCCCTGCCTGAGCAAGGGCTCTAGGACATCAGAATCAACAAAGAATTTGTGCATATAATCCTGCTAATGAAATGCCGCTACTCAGACCTCAACGTCCTTCCTAACACTGATTTACCAAAAGCATATGCTCCTATCATTCATGGTCTGTGCTTTTTTTTTTTTTTCTTTTCTTTTTCAAATTAAAACCAATTGGTTGCAGAGCAAAATACTACCTTTCCAGCTAAAAGGTTAACAGCAAGCCAATGACCACATGTGTAACTTGAATCTGCTGCCCCCAAATCGGGCTAACTACAATAAACTAAACCAAAACAACAAATGCACTAGTAAGCAGCTAAGCAATACTGCAGGCTGTTAACTTTAAATTTAGCCCTGGCAGACCGTGGAGGAAGGGCATCCCAGAAGGTCTTCTGCTATGCAGAGAGCACTCAAACCATAGGATCCTATTCCACATATATCACTTCTGAATATATGGCTATACCTATCACATGGCATCTGTATTTCATATCTATATTTTCTCTAAAAATACTTTGCATGAGATAAAGGACACTCTGCTCTTGGCCACAAAGCGTTTGCCCCAAAAGACGCCAATGAGACTGAAACAACAGATTATAATTCCTCACACCAGGACAACGCCATAGCTCAGAGTAGAGGTGATCTGACAATTTAGGGTTTTACAGAACACAACCTGTAAGGATGAATTACTCTCCAAAGCAAAATGTTGAACACTAGCATGGATAATATTACTTCAGAAGGAGATTGCTGTAGCCTTGCTATTTTCTAGCTGGAGCTTCAGGGCAATTTACAAGTAGGGACTATTGCCATGATGAACGGTGAGATTACAGAAGCAAAATTTGCTGTGATGAATCTCAAAAAGACAGCTCCAGGCCTTAAGTTCAATGTGCCACACCTACTAGCAGAGAATATATGAATAATCTGATCTCCAGGCTGCAAATACTATGAGAAAGGGTTGGACATCCCCATCCAGTGGAGCCTCCCCTATGTCCTCCTAAAGCCAAACAAAATTGCTAATAAGAAGACAAACTGTGCACTAGTATCTCTGCAACCCCCAAACCTGCATTTTATGCTCCTGCTAAGGAAACCCAGCTAAACCAGGCACCCAGTGCCAGAAAGGCTAGAATTCATCAATCTGACATTAAAAAACTTTTCTTCAACAGCTCTAAACAGCACTATGTGCAAAAAGTCTTGTTACTTGTGAGATTAACTGGAAGATAGGGTGGCTTCTATGTTATTATTTCAGGAGCTGAGGTGATTCCATCGCCCCACCACCAGAACTTCCTCTGTTTTAAACCATCTATGCAGTAATTAAAGAAAAAGTAATAATACTGCTTATAGTTAAAGTCATGCTTGAAACTCAGACACAATATGATTTTTTTTTTTTTTAAATCATGTCTTGCATAAATTACAAACTCTGTATTGATTGCAAGGGTAGTTAAGTAAACTAAAAAGGTATAATGGGAGCAGGAGACATCTTCTTGGCCTTGTGGGCTGAAGTGAGGTTATTCCCACTTCAAAACACCAATGATCTGTGCATTATGGTCTGTTAAAGTAATACTTGGCTTATTGAACACTTACTTTGTTTGATGTTTAAAAGAAACTAGGGTATGCACCACAGAAATACAGCTCTATTTTTATAAAATGCTGATCAACAAAAACAAAAAAAAAGGAAAGCCCTTACAGCTGTAATTGGCATCTCAACACCAGCATCCCCCTTTCATATGCTTGGTTTTGCTTACTATTATTCTTATTGCTGTTATTATTATTAATCCACCAAAACACCACACTCATACTAAACCAGTTCTTCACTAAGCGATTTCTGCCCGTTAGTATAATCCTCAAAGCTTCCATCAAATTTTGCACTCTCTTACATGACAGATGTAGAACTATGTTCTTTTGAGTGTGGCAAAACCAAAGAGCAGATGTATCAGTCAGTGCTGCAATAGGCAGTGGAGGGAGAGTGTGCCAAGGCTGGTGGATATTCTGCATTAACCCCTGTGAAATGCTGGATTTCAGAGGCTCAGTGGCCGCTACGCCAGGTCCCATTGAGGCATCAGTGTGAGCAACCAGCATTGTAAGGCTCTTTTCAAAATCCTGGTTACCACTTTTTTCAGGCAGGTGAAAATCAATTAATTTTCAGCTTTTAAAGGAATGCGTTTGCTGTGGTCAACCTTGGCCACACAGTTACAATGCATTCTGCAGAGATGCACTGCCTTTTCTTTCTATTTAGTACAAAAGCACTTAATCTTGGTTATCAGATCCCTGAAGGTCAGGCGTATTTCCTTAGATCTATTATTTACTGCTTCAAATTTCCAGTTCCACCTTTCTGGCTATTATAACTTCTTTTCCAACTCCTTTTCACGATAACTCCATATGATGACTGTTGATAAAGTTAGGAGGACCGTGATTCTAAATGTCTGACCTTCTTCAAAATCTGATAATGGATACAGTTTCTGATTCATAGGTCATCTCAATTTTGCCAATAAACCATTTATTTTCAGTGGCCTTCAGACCTTGAGGCTTACTGTGCACTGCAAAATGGATTCTTCAGGGAACAATAAAAATAAGAGAGACATCCTTTAGCCTTTGCTTAGCATGTTAGGAGGGATGTTGTACTTTGGAAAGCATGTTTGTCCACAACATCTTATGCACTCGAGTCTCCAAGATCTCCACTACCATAGAACATTTTCTGATGTTTGAATAAAGCTGGAAGTTCTAAGAGTCTAATATGAACTAACCCCCTTTTCATTTGCAATCTATATGGAAAGGACAAGAAAAATCCATGCCTGCTTAACACCCACCCCCCCCCCCCCCC